AACAAAATTTTAAAATACACTCGAGCCTTCCTCTGCCAAAAGAAACTACAGTGAAAGGAAATAGAAGGGGGAAACAGCCACGCTGGCAAATGCTCCTCCACTGAGCTCTGCACTGGGGATGAGACCAGGCCCCTGGGCCAGGCAGCAAGATGGCCTGTGCACACAAACTCAGCTCAACAAACACACACAGCTTCTCAGAGTGCCAGAACACACTGATGAGCATGCTATCACAGCCCCAGACGTGCGTGCTGAGCACCAGAGCCTCAGCTCTCCCCACGGGGACGGGCCACCATCTTCTGGCAGAGGCCCACAAGTAGCTGTCTTCACTTCCACCTTGATCGGCAGGAAAGGTGGGGAAGCAACTCAGACACCTGGCAGGTGCTGCATTGTCTGCCAAGGCCCACAGGGTTCTGCAGATCCCGAGACAGAGCTGTGGGATGGGAAAGGCTGGCAGCAGTGCGCAAGCTGCAGTTCTCCCTCAGTCTATTGTCTCAGAGTCTCCTCCCAGGGCAGCGTTACCAGACACAAGCGGGTCCCGACACCTCAGGGCTGCCCCATCCACAGAGCCCCACTGCTTCTGCGGTCTCTGGCACCCAGAGCAGGGCTTCCCTGCACAGTGGGTAGAGCCAGCCCTGGCGGCCTAGGCTGCCCTCACTGCTATGCACAGCCCACAAGGAGATGCACCCTCACCGCCAAATGACTCAGGTGTCACAAGGGTTATGACAGACACGACCCAAGCAGCAGAATACCTATGCCCAAGTCCAAATCCGAGCAGATGCCAGCCACCTTGCTTCCTCTGCAGCCACTCTTCAGAGGGTGAAAGGTGTGCTGCCCAGGGCAGCCAGGGTAGCCAAGGCAGGAAGTGACCAGGTGGATCCCTCGGGCGACCACAGGGAGCCTGCCCCTCCTCTTCCAGAGCCCCCCAATCCCTGGAACAGCACAGGACACGGAGGGATTCACATCAGGAGGGAGACTGCGAGACAGTACACACAAACGTGACTTTCATAGAAACACTGAAAGCAGGAAAAGGGCTCCGTCTTCTGGCTTTCCTTCTTGTACCCTCCCTGATTTCAAATGCAATCATGCAACGCATACTTCAGCCAACATAGCCAACATGGACCACACACAAAGGTGATCCCATGAGCAGGTAACGGAGCCGAAAAGCCACGTAAGCCAAGGCCTAACGTCACTGCCCATCGGTGGGGATGTACCCACAGGCGTGCTGTGCTGTCAGGTGCGTAAAACATAGACACAGTGACACAGTACGCAGCACTAGACAGTGATGATAAATGACGATGTCACTTAGTGGTCTGGTTTCGTTTTTTGGTGGTTTTTTTTGGAAACTGGATCTTACTACCTTAAACTCACTGTGTAGTAGAGTGGCCTTGAGCTCATGCCACGCCTCCTGCCTCAGCCTCCCTAGTGCTGGGATTACAGGCCTGCACCACCGCACCAGCAGCCCTTTTGGTATTATGCTTGTTTTTTTTGAGATAAGGTCTCCTGAGGGAGCTCAGGCTGGCCTCACAATCCTCCTGCTCAGCCTGAGTGCTGGGATTACATGTGTGTACCACCATACCCCCCTTATTTAATAACCATGCTTTTCAATGTTGTTTTAAAGCAAACGCATTAAAAAAAAAAAAAAAGCTTACAATAAAACAGTATGTCATGTTATACACAACAGGAACTGCACGCAGGGTGACTGAAAAATAAACTGAGTGATTATTTTTATTCCAGGAAGACGCACTGCCATTAAAATACCCAAAATACTCCCCTCACCATGAATACACTGATCCCACCACTCTGCTACCTCCAAAGCACCTCTGAGTCCTCCTTCTCATGAGTATGTTCAGCTGAGCTGCTGTGGCTGCCTAGGTCCTGCCAGGGCATTCTGACTTTGGGGACGGTACCAGACCCGGTGAGCGAGGCAGAGGAGAACACGGCCTCATGTTTTTATGAAGCTGTCATTCAGCAGCAGCATCCCCTGCATTTTTGGTCACCTCATGAAGACACTCATCAAAGAGGAAGGCAGAACTGCTTCAGAAAGTGCCCACAATGGCAGGTACGTGTGTCTAAAGCAAGACGGAGTGTTTTGAGGGGTGTTAACAGCCATGCGTCTTTTTTAAATTCAAAACTTCACCGTGTATCTTGTTGACCCCTTGCATGTTTAATGTTCACCATGTACTGAGCTAAACTATTGAGGTTTACATAAATACCAAATGGTAGTCACACAGGGTGAAATCACCTATCCATTCTCAAAACGCACCCTAACGTTAAGCCATATGTAACTGTTTCTGATGGTGATAGAAAACACTTTTTAGAAACAGAAGACACCGAAACAAAAAAACATGACCCTAAGATAATGGAACTGGCCAGAAGCCTTACAGCTGTCCACCAGGCCTAAAGACTAGGACCTGCACAGACACAAGAACCAAGAGGCCCAGTGTCAGCCCAGAGCGGAACACAACAAGGGCCACTGAGGCGGTGACCCGCGGTTCACAGCTGGGGCTGGAGCAGGTGCTGCCAGAGCCCACGCAGCCACAGCTGTAAACAGCTGGCACCAGAGAAGGTCCTCAGGAGGCAGGCAACGCCAGCAATATCCGAACCTGCTTCCCAGTCCACGGCCCTGAGAAACAGCAACCTGTCAGCTATAAATTCCCAATCAGCGCATCCCTATAACCCCAGCACTCTGGGAGGTGGATGCAGGAAGATGATAAGACTGAGCCCTACCTGGGCACTTTATGAGACCCTGTCTCAAAACAGAAAATTAAGAGGCCAAGGGTTTAGCTCAGTGGCACAGTGCAAAGTTACGAGTTCAATCTCCAGTACCCAAAAAAAAAAAAAATTAAAAGCTAGGAATGCAGGTTAGTACAATCGTCCCGGGTTCAATCCCCACTACAAAGAAAGAAAGAAATGGAGGGAGAGAGGGAAACTTAAAAAAATTAACTAACAGAGATCCTCTTTTTCAGGAGATCCCCTGAACAACTTCTCACAAGCTTGTGGCCTTTTTCATCACAGCCCGTCTGCTCATGAGCTGCTCTGGAAGGTCACAATTGCTCTAAGCAGGTCCTGCCACAGGGTACGCTCAGCCGAACTACAGTCCGCATTCCTCTGGAGGGCCACCAGCACCTGGGGCAGAACCGGGCTCCCAGCTCAGCTGCGCTCAGCACTGTGCTCAAGCCACTCCTCACGCCTTCGCAGTAGGTCTGCCACCACACATGCGGCCAGCGAACGGCAAGGTAGCCTGAACCACCAGCGTCTCCAGACTGCCAGCTCTGCAGCACAAACACATTCTCAGGTTCCCTTGTTATCACTACTTGAAGCTCAAGTGCTCTTATATTAGATAAAGAAAAGACCGGCTAGGTTCACCGCTGAATTGCAAGAGCTGCTTGGAAATATGTAGGTCCACAGCAAGCGTTGGCTTCCCAGCCAGCCGAAGTGCCGTGTTCCACGGATCACGTGGCAGGCCGATGGTCCCAGCAGCTAGATACCAAGGACCTAGCACACAGAGCTCTTTCCATTTCTGCCCTAATGTCTTGTTAGACGCCTTTTAATTTCATTTATTTCCATTTGGGTAAAGCTGAAATGTTGAGGCCTCAAACAAAATCTCCATATGATGCAATCCCTCTTGGCTCACTGGCAGTCCTCCCAGTGAAGCCACCTTTACATCAGGTTGGCTGGGCTGCAGAGACCAGCACTTCGGTTCTCACAAGGCCTTCTCTGAGTAAGGATGATTACAGACACATTTTTACTCACTTCATCTGAATGTACTGACTATATAACGCATACATGTAGCTCTAGGAAAAGAAACAACGGTATTTGGGAGAAAAAGGAAAATAACATTTACAAAACTCGTTTTAAATTTCCAACTCCTAACACAGGATTAGTGCCTGCTCCTGTGTTGGAAACTATCTTGTGGGGCAGAGCCCAGCCCAACCCACCTGGCTAGTTCACAGCTCCCAGTGGGGAGGACCCCACCACTCGATCACAGGTAGCGCAGTTGTGAGTGACTTCAACCTAGACTCTGGGGAAGACAATTCAAAGGCTGCCGGGTGTACTGGCCTTGCAATATGCTATCACTGCAGTGATCCAAACAGTCTGAAAGTCGGTTATCTGCTCATTTGCAGAGTAAGTGCAATTTTCCTAATATGCATGCCCCATCTGAGTGACAAAGCAGACGCACCTGGCCACACCCACAGAAAGTGTGTCACTTTGAGACTCAAGAAAGTGCCCAAGTGTACAGAACGGCGTTCACCTTGAAAAGCAGTCGGAGTGCAGTCTCTGGTCACTTACCTCATATTCTTAACAAGGCAAAGATCATTTTTAAAGATAAAACAACAAGAGCAAGTCAGTGTTAAAAGCAATAAAGACAAAAATGGGGGTACACAGTGTGTGTGTGGGGGGAGGGGTATGTTCAAATAGCCCAGGTCAGAGAGAACAGGCTGAGGCCCAACTCCCACCCTGGGAAGGCAGCACTCAAGAGAGCCTTCCATGAGCCAGGGTCTGCACCCCCGAGAAAGCATCACAGAATGTTAACAGCTGCAGCAAAGCAGAAAGGAGAATCCCACTCCCTCCCAGCGTCCACCGCTCTGGACCACAGGTCCCATTCTAACCTTCAGGGGCTGCCTCCCTGGCCAGACTGCTTCACCTCCCCCAAGAACTATGTTTTTAAGCCCCACATGGCCCCAGAATTTGTTATGAGGATGTGTTTTATTACATTAAAGATGGCAACAAAACCTAGATGCCCTGTGACCCAGAGACCTGGGCAAACACAAGCATGGCCACATTACAATGACAGTGTCCAGCTTACTCACCAGGAATGCAGGAAACTATGGAAAATATAAATTATCCCAAGTCCATCAGCTAACAATTTCCCAACATCCACGTCCCAAAGAACAGGGCTAAGCGAGCAGACCCCACTGTGGGGACCATGGGGAGGTGCAGGCAGGGCCACCTGCAGGCACGGCTCCGCCTCAGCTGTCACTGGGCTCAGGCACACTTACCTGTGAGGGGGAATATAAGGAGCACAGACGGTCGGCAGGACCGCGCAGGGCTCAGTGAGCGTTTTCTTAGCCTTTTTCGCTTTCTTCCTGACCTTAGACGTGGACCTGACCGTTTTGACTGAGCTCTCTTTTCTACAGACACCATTTTTCATTTCAACATCCCCATAAATGTTCAGAGGCCTGCGAGTGCAGCCTGGAGGCGTGTGGACGTCACAGTATGCGGTCTTTCTGACGGAGAAGGTGGTGCTGCCTCCCGTCAGCTCCTTCACAGGCTCCATCTTCATGTATAGGCCAGCCTTCTGGGCACACGTCACATGGAAGGCCGTGTAGCAGTTGGCTTTGTGGCACTGGATGCAGGCGCCCACGCCCTTCTGCTTACAGAGGTAGCACGTCAGTTTCCACCGGGCCGGGGGGATGTTCCTCACGCCGTCGATGGGCTCAATGAACACGGTGTTGGCGAAGCCGACCTCAGGGATCCACAGGGCACACACCACGTGGCCCCAGCGGTCGTCGTCTGTCTTTTTGAAGGCACCACCCTTGTTGGGGCACAGCACACAGTCAGCGGGCCGGGCCCGGGACTGCAGGCAATGGCGACAGAGCCACTGGCCCTCGGGGATGTAGGGCACCCCGTAGCACTCCTGGTGCACGGCAAGGTTGCACAGGTCGCAGAAGAGGATCACGTTGCTGTTCTGACACTCGCCATCCATGCAGATGCAGCACACGGCATCCTCGTCGATCAGGGACTGCTGCTCTCCCTGCTTCTGGTTCTCGCAGTACGACTCCTTCTCGAATCGGTCCATCAGGAACTCAAACATGTTCTGTGACACCGCAGAGACACAGTCGCCCTTCCGCTTCTCGTTGATGATCTCCAGCCAGGCGTAGTCCTCCTCATCCATGTCGTACTCCACCTCGTTGTCCAGCTCTTCCGCAGACTTCTCAATGAACTTGTAGTACATGGGGGGCCTCCTGGGTGCTGATGGCGGGCTGTACTCCACAATCCGTACCTTGGGCTCAGGAAGGGTGCTGGCGGAGGCAGGTGTGCCATGGGTGCTGGGCAGGGCTTCATTTTTCTTTTTCACTCTGTTGTTTTTGTGGCGTTTAGTTCTTAAGCAAACAGGTGGCCTCTCACTGTTTTCTTTATTGCTGTTACATTCACTCATTTCCTGAGCAGTGAGGTCATCTTCCAATATGATCTCAAGAGGATCAAAAATACTGATCCGATGCAGTCGCCCTTCGATCTCTATCTCAACCATCCTCTGAGCTTGTGCGTACGTGAGGGTCTCTCGAGTGGGGGAGTGTTTAACACTGCACGGGGAGGAAGCGTGCCTCGCTGCAGAGCCTCGATGGCATCGTCCTTTCCTCCTCATTTGGCAATGATTACCTAGAATGAAGTCAAAGGAGAAGTTACATGCAGGCTGGCAGAAGACCTCAGAACACCCGAAAGCATACCTGCAGGATGCTAACTTATCAGCACAACACCCCGAGTAGAAAACTCAGAACTAATGTGCCACCTGAGACTCTCACGGCCCTCCTTCCCAGGGCTCAGGACTATTTTTTAGGAGTGACTCCCCAGAGCCAGCAGGAAGGGGCAATGACAGAAACCAGCAAGCACATCCAGGGCTCAAAAGGTTCTTCCTCTCCCACTGAGTACAGGGGAGTGCCCTTGGGTAACCAAGTATGCCGCACTATCATGGCATCGCTGCTGGGGGCCAGTCACATAAGACAGTAAGGCGCAGACCCCAGCCTGGCCATCCTCTCCACAGACATCTCCTCCAGTGAGGAAAGTCTGGTGCCAGTCCAGAGGACCATCTTTACCCTATCAGACCAGTCCAGCTTCTGCAGAGCCTTGGGTGTGACGACCACAGAAGCCCTGCCCCGGACCACTCAGGGTCTCCTTCCCCACAGCTTCTTATTCAAGTAAACCCAGCTTTGCACTCCACACCAAGAGGCACCTCTGCTGTCTTTCTAGCACACCTTAAGATGTTCACCTACTGCTGCTCCACAGTGAGGTGAGCTGGCACTACCTACAGAGCCACCACTGGCTCAGGTGGCCAAAAGCCTGACCCCAGAAATTTGTGAGCAATTGCTCTTCTCAGAGATTGGCAAAAGAGCTCATCCCTCCACCCCTCAGCGGAAAACTTGTGTCACCTCCTGCCTCAATTTCTGGAGTTCCCTGTGTATGACCTGGTGTCCAGGCACCTCAGCTTAAAGACATGCCACCACAGATACCACCCACCACGCAAGGCAGACCATAGCAGCAACAAGGACTGCTCAGACTCTTCCCTCCAAACAGCCACATTTTAGTGACAGGGAGCAAAATGACTTTTAACTAACTCACCAATATTCCAAGTTAAAGCCCATGTTAGGAAAGCCCAGCACTGAGCAACTGGGGAGCTATAATTCACAGCCTCACAGCAATATACCTGGTCTTCAAAGAAAGCCCTTAAGAGGCAGGGCTCACTTCACCCCAGCAAATCTCACATGTATTTCTTTTCAGACAGACCCTTTAGATTACAGAAACCTACATGTTATGTCCAAATTAGACATTTCCTACCTGAGGATCATGGGAGACTGAGTGGCCACCCAAACCCCAACTCAGCTGCATGAGAAGCCACAAGTGCCACTCAATTGAGGATTCTCACAGAGCTCTGCACCTCTAGCAACAGCCCCCAAGGTATCAGCACCATACCCTCTAGAGGGGACCCCAATGCCCACAGGGACAGCTCAATGTCATCACTGAATGAGGCAGAAGCAAGGGTTGGGTCTTGTCTCTTGCAAGAAAAACACAGATCTGTCATTTTTTCATGTGCAGGCAAGTACCAAGCAGCTCTAATTCTAACAAACCCTTCAATACCCCCAGCCTGCCAGTAAGCACTGAAGCTTTTCACCGTTCTCTGCCCAAAGTCCTCAACCTGCACCCACAGGCTGCACGCTTGGCCCTCTGTCCCTGACCACTCAGGGCTCTCACACAGGGACAGCATTTCCTCGGGGAGGGAAATCAGCACACCAGGAGGCCTCTCCACAAATAACTTTAAACATCCTGAAAAGCTCTGTGGGCAAAAGAGGGGAGGACCCTCCACACTCATGATCAGCTGGTTTGTTTCCTGCCAGGCTGTGGACAAGTCATTTAAACTCTCCCAGCCTCCACCTCTGTACTACAAAGTGTACAGACACAGCAGAGGCCAGGGAGTGAACACAGACACCCAGGCAGTGCCCAGCAGTGCAAATAACACTCAAATTCCACAACTGCATACTGCCTGAAGACAGACACTGGAAACAGACTTCTGCACTGGGAAGCTTTCTGGGATGATGGGAACTTTCTTCAAGAAGGGGGAGGTTTCCCGTGTCTATAAAGGACCCCGGAACTCTGATTTCTGTGAACTATGTCCCAGTGAAGCAAGGCCCAGGAGAGCCCGCGCTCAGTTCCTCCTGTACAGGTTCTGCGGGCTGGCTGAGGACAAGATTGGATGGGCCTCCGGGTGCTCCGGAGAAACCGGGTTCAACCCTACTGAAGGAGTTTCTTGTCCTGGCAAAGCAGATTAGGCCTATCTATTACATAACGCGACCGGTGCGAGTGCAACCAGGGCTCGGAGAGGAACGTGGGCCTGAGCCGCAGACCCCGTGGCCTCCCGGCCTCTCCACCTTGCGATCCACCCGGCCCGATCCAAGCCTCCTCGGCCTCCCAACGTCCCGTCCGCCCGCCGATCTCGGCTTCCCCACCTCCTGACCGGCTCTGCTCGATCCCAGCCTCTCAGCCTCCCCGCCTCCCAATCCGCCTGGCCCGACGTCTCCTAGCCTCCTCCGTCCCGGAACGATCTCGGCCTCCCGATCCGCCCGGCCCGACGTTTCCTGGGCTCCTCGGCCCCAGCCTCCGCCTCCCGATCTGCCTGGTCGATGACTCTGACCTCAGACTCCTCAGCCTTCTCGGCCTCCACGGTTTCCGCCTCCTCCACCTCCCTATCCGCCCGACCCAACGTCTCCCGAACCCCTCGGCCTCCCGATCTGACCGGCCCGACCAAGCCTTCTCGGCACCGGCCTCCCCGCCCGAATTCCGCCCGACAGGCCTCTCCGGCCTCCTAGGCCTTCCGTCCGCACGCCCACCCCGGCCTCCCGTGTCCCCGCCAGCCGGCCGCGACGCCGGCCTCCCCGCTTCCCGTCCTCTGCCGCGGACAATGCGAAGCCGCCGCAAACATGGCGCCCGCAGTTCCGCCCGAGGCGGCCGGGCGCGCTGGGCGAGGGCGCCGCGCCACTCACCTCCGGGGCGCCGCGGCCGCGGGAGCCCGGCAGGCGGGCGAGCGGGCGGGCGCGGGCCAGGCGGCACTAATGGCGCCGCGGTTCTCGCCAACGGCCGCGCAGCCGGGCCCCGCCGGCCTCGGGCGCGCTCGGCGCCAGGCTCTGGGCCCGCTGGGCGCCGCGGTCGGGCGGGGTCGCGGCCCGACTCGGCCCGTTGCAGGCCGGCTCGGGGCCCGGCCGAGTCGGCGCGGGCGCGGGAGCGGAGCTGTCGGACGCCGGCGGGGCGCTGCTCGCTCCCTAGCGAAGCAAACAATGCGGCGAGCGCTCCGCCCGGCGCACTGCGTGCGCGACGCGCTCCGCCCACCGCCGCCATGACGTAAGCGGGGGCGGGGGCAAGGCGGGGTCAGGACTCGCGGGAGGGGAGAATTGAAGGGCTGGAGTCTGGAGGGGAGGAGACCCGGGAGTGTGGGGACGGAAGGATTAGAGTACCAGGGAGTGTGGGGACCCGAGGAGAGGGGGACCCGGGAGTGTGGGCTCTGCCGGGGAGGGGGATCCGGGGCTGTGGGCACTTGGAAGTGTAGGGATCCGAGTGGAGGGCCCGGGAGTGTGGGGATCCGAGAGGAGGGGCACCCGGGAGTATGGAGACCCGAGAGGGGGACCCGGAGGTGTGGGGACACAAGGGGCGGAGGACCGGTGAATGTGGGAACCCCAGGAGGGTATGGCGAGGGGAGGGGGACCTGGGAATGTGGGGACCCCGAGGGAGCAGGGCCCGGGGGTGTGGGGACCAGAGAGGAGGAGGACTGGGTGTGTGGGGCCGCCGGTATGTGGGCACCCGAGGAGAGGGGCCTCTCCAGGGGAAGATGACACAGGAGTGTGGCGTCCCAAAGGGAGGAGGAACTCGGGAGGGGGGGGCGATGGGAGGGGGACTCTGGAGTGTAGGGTCCCCAGGAGAGGGAGACCCGGGAGTGTGGGGTCCCGGGGGTGTGTGGTTCCCAAGGGTGGCAGGACCTGGGAGTGTGGGGACCCGAGGGGAGGGATACCTGGAGGTGTGGGACCTGAGGAGGGGTAACCCGCCCGGGTGTGTGGAGTCTCCTGGTGACAGTGACCAAGGGAAGGGGGACCCGGGAGTGTGGGGTCCAGGATGTGTGTAGGAGGACCCGAGAATGTGGGGACCTGAGGAGAGGGGGAACCCTGGGGATGTGAAGACTCAGGAGAGTGTGGACCCCAGGAGAGGCCCTGAGGACAGGCATACCTGGGGGTGTGGGGACCCCAGGGAAGGACATCAGGGGGGACATCAGGAGAGAAGGGCCTGATAAGGAGGGAACCCGGGAATGTAGAGACAATACAAGGAGGGAGTCCCCTAAGAGGAAGGGGTACCCGGGAGTGTGGGGCAGGCGATGTGTGGGCGCCCAAGGGGAGGGAGGCTCAAGGGTGTGGTCCCAAGGAGTACACTGGGGAGTGTGGCACCTGACTGGAGGGGGCACCTAGGGGTGTGGGGACCGCGAGGGGAGAACATAATCAGGGGAGGAGGGCGTCATAAGGAGGGGACCCAGGAACGTAGGAGCAATATAGAGAGGGAGTCCCCTGAGTGGGGGCCCGCAGGGCAAGGGGACCTAACTGTGTGTTGTGGCCAGGAACAGTTTCTCTTCAGCGAGGCCCTGAGGATCTGGGAATGTTTGGAGACCTGAGCAAGTAGGGTAAGGGGTCCTGGGTGGCTGAGGGGAGGCGAGGAGCATAGGAATGTGGCTGACCTGGAGTGGGGCAACAGCCCAGGACAGGCATATGAGTGGAATGGGAGCATGAGAATATGGGGTGACTAGGAAGTGATCCCTGTGGGGCCCTGGAGGGTGGTCCTGAAAATGTGGGGTGACCAGGAGGTGCTTCCTGAGAGCGCTGGGAAGGAGTCTTGAGAGTGAAGAGTCTTTCCTTTATGGAGAGGAGATTGGGTTGGAAGTGGCTCTGAGGAGTCAGAGGGACCTGCAAGGGCACCAGCATGCAAGGGGCTGCCTCAGTGGGGAGGTGTAAGCAGGAGTGGGGCCGGAAGAGGGGACAGGGTGGGGGCATCGGCTGGGGAGAAGGGCCACTACCTGGGTTTGGCAGGATGTTGGGGAGTGACTAGAGGCACATCTGACAGGTGTAGGGGGCCAAAGGATGTGTGCTCCCAGCTCTGACTCCTCTATGAGCATTGTACATCTGGGGTAATCGAACACTGACACCCACCCACCACCCAGAACTCAGTAAAGCCAGTACGTCCATAAAAGATCTCACACAAAGGACCCTGTGCGCAGGAGCTCAGAGACCTGCATCTTAGGCTCCTGCTGGCTGCTTCCAATTCGGCCTTAGATTTAAACTAAAATTCAGTGATTTACTGACAGTTTTCATTCTAAGATTCAGTCCCAAAATGTTTTGAGATGAGGGCAAAGCTTAGATGGCTTGTGGATTGTTTTCCTTTATGATAGTGATTGGTGCAGTAGGGTGAAGGCATTTCCAGTAGGGATGGAGAGCTCTGCCTGTAATGGGGCAGCCCTCCGGGCACAGCAGCTGTCTGCCCCAGGGCAGAGCCTGGGCTCTTCAGGCAGTGACACCTTCCTCCACCTTGCGGGGAGCCCTGCAGCTGCTCAAATATGCTTGCTGTGTGCCTTAAAGGGAGTGGGTTGGCCTATTTACCCACTTGGCCCGGGTTGGCCAACACCTGAAGGATAGGTGCCATTCCTGAGCAAGGACCCTACGTGAAGCTGAGGCACTCATGGGAATAGGCCTGTTGGGGACCACAAACCCACAGTGGCTAGTTTTACACACTTCTCTAAGGAATAAAAGGAGGCTTGAGTTATCGGTATCACCCTTTCCAAATCATCAGATTCTGCATCTTCCAGGTGAGATTTCCCATTATCTGATTAGGGGTGGGCCATCTTCTCCCACCTACTAAGACTAAAACCACTGACTAAAGAGGCTCCATGGCAAGATCCTTCTTAGCATAAGACCACCTCCACCCTGAGTCATCCAATAATACCCTCAATCAGGGATCACTGAATTGGCCTTTTGTTCCTAGTGAACAACTGGTCAGCCCAGATCCCCAATGTATTGCCATCTGTCTCTTAACTTTCTCTCTTTCCATGACACCTAGCAGGGGACTGAGGTTCACTGCAGGTGTGAAATGTGGCCTGAACCCTAGTGTTCTCACCTGCCTGTTAGCTTTACCAGGACTCTTGTGACAGCCTTCAGAGCTGCGCTATGATTCCAGAGACACCTGGTGCAGAGCTGAGGTAAGTGCTTCCAACACAAGAATTTTGCTGGGATTAAAACATGAGATTAAATCTTTTTCTGTAAAATCTCTTTCTTCAGTATTTCTTTCTTTAAAATCTCTTTTAAAGAAGGCTAAGTACACGGTGCCAGCTAGCAACATCACTGAAATACACCAGCAAATTACTAAGTGCAATCCTTGGTTCTTGCAGGCGGGAATTTTAGATACTTAAAGTTGGGACAAAGTGAAAAAAATTTAAAGAGAGCTCACAGCAGAAGAAGAACTGCTTCTGAGACATTCTCAGCTTGGACCTTGGTAAAATCTGCTTTAGACCTGTTAAGTACTAGTACCTCCAAAGTTTCTATTTTAGAACAGGACAACGGAGGAAAACATGAAAAAAGGTAAAAACTACAACTGTGCTGCTGGCTCCTGGGGGAGCCCTAGGGCTGAGTGAGAATTTAGAGAAACAGCTCAGCCTGTGACTGCAGACCCTTAAAAATAAAACATTCTCAGCCTTGTATGTCTGCCTCACAACAGGATGAGAAGGCAGCGACTATTCCTGAACCCCGTGGCTTCCCGGTGGGGGTCCAGCAAATACAGCACACTAATGGGACTTGTGGGGAGACCCATGCCAGGTCCACACCTCCACATTTTTAGAGACTGATACAATTCATCCAGTATGGAAGCATGGTCATCTTTGAGGATGAGAGCAACAGAGGCAGTGATGGCTGCTCAGGAACTGTGTCAGAGGGAATAAGGTGGTCACGATGGACCAGTGACAGAGCTGTGTAACAGAAAAGCAGCTTCCCCTTCCCTCCGCTGGGCTGGGCATGGTGGCACACACATGTAGTCCCAGGTATGGGAGATGCTGAGAGGGGGCATTACTTAAATTCAGAGACTACACTGGGACTCCTGGAGTCAGTGTGAACTCAAACTGTATCAAACCAAATGGACAGTTACTGAGCTGATTGGGGTTAATCTGTGGTCCCTAAATAAGGAGAAGTTTCAGATATTAAAATCATTGGTGTCAAAACAAATAAAGGAGACATTTTGAGCCCTCTTTCAAAGAACTAGAAAGCAATGGTTTAATGCAAAGCATTACTTCCTTCTTTACACATGACTTAATGCAAAGGGAAATACTGACTTTGATGCTATTTTACAACTAGAATTGCACCATAAAAAAGAGGAAAAATGCTCAAAATGCTTTACATTCAGACTTTCTTTTTTTTTGTCTTTTTCCTTTTTATCGGTACCAGGGATTGAACTCATGACTGCCTGCTTGCAAGGCAGGCGCTTATGCCGCTGAGCTAAATCCCCAGCCCCCTACATTCAGACTTTCTGCCAGGCATCATAACATGTGGTGGGAGATTGGGGCTCACTGAGATCATAGGAAGTCTCAAATAATAATAATCAATAATCTCAAGCCTCCATTCCTCCCTCAAGGAAGTATGAACTGTGAGTTTGTGGTCCCCAGTACGGGCCGGTCCTGGAACCCTCACTACATCTGCACGAGCCCCAGGAGCTGCAAATGTTGCCTCGGCTTACCTGAGACCAAATGCACGATGGCAGCTGGAAGCAGAAGGCAAGCAATCAAGCCCACACCCTTCCTTCCTCCACCCCAGGGAACCAGATGCAAACCAACATCTGAGTGGTCTCTCACAAGACAATGCAAAAGTAAGACAGTATCCTGACAAGACATGAAACCCTTCACATAACGGGGAAGGTAAGACAACCACTTCTCAGTGGTGTGAAGAAAGCTTTCAACACAAGGCAGCTCAGACTGTCATTCTAGAATTCCAGTGGTGAGGAGTCCCACTCCAAACCCTTCAAAGAGGAGGATCTCCTTTGAACAGACCGTGGATGGAGGATGAGTTATCAGAGTTCTAAGAAAACAACCTGAACTAGCACTAAAGTGCGATAGCACCATAAGATGTACTTGCTGCCCATAAACAGCCACCTTATCACAACACAGCATCACTTCAAATCACTAGACAAACATTAGAAAAATGAGAAGTGAATCAGACAGTGAGATATGGATGTCAGCACAAAAACCAATGTGAACTGTTATGATCAGTAACCTAAGAGAAACCTCCCAGATTAATTCTGCATGCCATGGCCCTGGGAAGTAAATGTGCACTGAGTTCCTGACCTGCTTGTTAAAAGATTTTAGAATGTTGATTGGGGGGGGGTGTTAAAATATTAGCATGGTGGTGCATGCCTCTAATTCCAGCACTTGGGAGGCTGAGGCAGGAGGATCTTTATGAGCTTGAGACTAGCCTGGGTTACAAAGTGAGCTCAAGGCCAGCCTGAACTACATAATGAGACCCTGTCTCAATAAGACAATAAAAGAGAACGTTAAAGTACCAAGACTTACAACTTCCAAAATAGGTGACGAACAGGTGAAATGAAGAAAAGTCGGCCAGATGTGGTGTTGCATGCCTTTAATCTCAACACTTGGGACGCCACGGCAGGAGCACTGCTGTGAGTTCCAGGCCAGTCTGAACTGCATGGTGAGAGCCTGTCTCAAAAAAGTAAAAAACTGAGAAATATAAAAGCCTGAAACATGGTCAATAAAGAACATGCTATGAGTGGTGGGAATAAAATCAGACACTTGAGTAATCAGAGAAATGTGATTGAATTAATTTATTTGTAAACAATCACTTGCATTTAAGATTGGAATCACAATATTATTAAATACTTTTATAAGACATATACCTGGTTGAGTGTCCCAAATTCATTTCCTCAAATTGATGGTGACCCCAAGACAAATTGTTTCACCGGCTATTGTCATCTGCCCATTGCTTTAATCTAAACTTGTCAAGTGTTTAGAACTTACTTCTTTTGCTCAAGAAAATTTCCATTGCTCTGCAAACTCAGGAATGCAGTAAAGATTATAATTTGTGAAGAAATATGCCTGAGAAATGACACTGACTGATTAGAAATAAAAGCATGGAAAGTATGAAGACCAGGCTCGGTAAGTGTCAGTTGGAAAAAATAATTATTGGCGGTGGATTCCATGTGTGTTATGCTCTAGCAAAAAAAATGTCTATATTTTGCCCATATCTTGAAGCATTGTAGGAAACTGAGCATCAGGTGACTAGCAGAGGAAATTTTCAAGGCAACCCAACATTCAGGCTGTGCCCTGGGTACTGCTAGTGGGTTTCAGCCAGCTTTATACTGAAAATCAAGAACAAAAGGTACACCTGGATGAATCTGAAAGTTTTGAATTTGGCCAGAAAAAAAGCTCTGGGAAAACTGGAGCTTGTGAAGTTGGAACAGAACAGAGCTTGGTTGCTGAAAAGGTTAGCATTAAAAGGAAACTGAAGCCAGGTGTGGTAGCACACACCTGTAATTCCAGCACTTGGGAGGCTGAAGCAGGAGCATTGCTGTGAGTCTGAAGCCGGCTTGAGCTACATAGTGAGACCCTGTCTGAGAAGAAGAAGGTGCCAAATACTTTACAAAAGGATAAAAGGGAAAATGGCTCAAAGGCGTATGGGGAACTGCTGGACACCACCCTTCAAAGGCTCAGACTTGTAAAAGTGGAAGACTTTGCTTTGAGACGACAGTGTCAGGACACCACGCTCAAGAATGGCTGCCTAGGGAATTAGTTCTCCTGGATTTGGTTCACAGGGCAGAGCCATTCAGGCCCTCAGAGACCTCTGCAGCCATGGTACAAGAGACCCTGGCTACTTCTGGAGCTCGTGGCAGACCTTGGCATTACCCGTGCAGTGCTGGTTTTACAGGCATGCAGAACTTAAAGAGTTTCCAGTCACGGAAACCTCCACCCAGATTTCAGAAGAAGGCCCCTGAGAAGGAGTGTGTGAGGCCGTGAGAGGGAAGCAGGAAGTGCGGTAGAGGCCCGAGGAGGTCAGAGAAGCCAGGAATGTGGAAGGCACAGGGGTGAGCAAAGCCACCCAAGCCCTCTGCAGTCCATCGCCACAACTGCCCTCGGTGCTGAGTCTGGAACTACAGGATTTAACTTTGCCCTGCCGGGTGTTGGTCTTTCTTTGATCCCATTGCTTCCTATCCCAAACGTCCACAGCCAAATGGATAAATAGAGTGAGGTGTCTCATACAGTGGAATAGCATGCAGCCCCAAAATAACATGGGCTGCACCATGGAGCTGTATGTCCACTGCAGACACATCAGGCTGAATAGAAGAAGCAAGTCACAGAAGACTGCGACCTAGCAGAGAGGGCTGGGAATTGTGTAAGTGTGCACACACACACACACACACACACACACGCCCTAGGTCTACTGTGCCCCTCCCCCCCACCAGGGCCTTGGGCGTGCTAGGTCGGTTCTCTACTCCTGAGCTGTCTTCCTAGTCCTTCCATTAATTTCTCTTAACCTGGAATTCATACTTGTAACTCTGATTCCAAGGTAAGGTGGTGTTCATTCTATCCTTCCCCGCTCCATATTTATGACTCTTTCTGCAGCAAGAAACTCATGTGTTCACTCACCTCAGCCTCCTATGTGTGCCACCCCTGAGCTATGCCAGGCTGAGGCTGGCCACAGATGCATCACCTGGGCCCTCCACTGACACATCCATCAAGAGCTCAGCTCTGGGGACATTGCTGCCTAGAACTGTTAGCTCTGCTGGTGGAGAATATGGACCCAGTGAAGGGCAAAGAGCAGGATGGTGATGGGTGGGATTTTTTCTTTTTCTTTTTCTTTCTCTTTTTCTTTTTCTTTTTTTTGGTACTGGGGATTGAACTCACAACCACCCGCTTGCAAGGGAGGCACATATTGCTGATGAGCTAAATCCCCAGCCATGTTTTGTAGACAACACACCCAGGGTGTACAAACACCCAAGGTGTTTTGTAATGTTCTATTTTCTGGAAGCACTAAGAGAAAGCTCTTCTTTCCTTCTAGATCTATCTCCAACTTTTAATTTAGACTGTGCTTTCATAGAAACACATGGAACATTCCTTAAATAATGTTTTTCACTCCAGAAATCAGGAAAACAGTTTTTACCGACCTGTTCTTTTCATAGAATGCACACGGTCACAATGGAAATCAGTACTCCTTTTCAACTGGAAATAAGCAGACACATTGGCGTCCAAGCAAGGCCTTGGGTAGATGTCATATATGAGAGTTAATGTCATGGAAGCAGCATGACACATCACCTTGAGGGCACAGGGTGGGAACGGCTGGGTTGAGCCAGCACCACAACGCCCTCAGCCTATACCGGTTGGGCCACTGCTCTCTGGCTAAAGGTCAGCCTCAAGAGGTGCAGAGAGTGGCTTCCTGCAAGCCAGATGCCTCGCAGCCAGCAGGGTCTGAGAGAGGGGCACACATCCACAGGTATAAGAAGTGGGGCCAGCCTCCTGGCCAGGAACAAAATCAGGGACGCGAATGTCTCAGGCATAGCAGCGACTCAGCCCTGCCTTCCTCATGATGACACCCCAGATGGAGTTGATTTTCCAGCCCTGCCTTGCACCACACATGCCTTAGATGAGCCGCCTCGCCAGGAGGCTGGCGCAGGTTAATTACCCCTGGCAGCGCCTGTGCAGATGAGTCAGGTTGGCACGAAAGGAGTGGGGTAGTTCTCAGCCAACAAGAATCTCTGCAGCCCATTCATTACAAGAGAAAACCAGGAAGACAAACTTTCCCAAAGTCAGACCGGGCACAGCAGGGCGCTCTGCCTTTCAGGGGGGCACTCGGGCTCCTGGGCTGTGCGTGTGCTTACCTGGCTGTTTTACAACTCAGCGAGGGTGGACTTTAACTCCTGGCAAGCGGATGGCCGAGTAGGAGGATCCCTGTCTGAAGGCCGTGCAGACAATTCTGCCCAGAAGTGAGTGGTGATAGAAATCCTTTCTGCTCAGTAAGAAAAGATTGCTGTTAGAAAACATGGCAGTTTTACAGCCCTATAGAGCATTAATTTTTTAAAATTTAAATTAGCAGACTTACTAAAATAAGCTCTTTTTTTTCCAGTTACTGAAAATACTTTCTAACTTTTTCTTTTACAGTACTGAAGATTGAACCTGAGGCTTTGTTAGAGAGCCAAGCTCTCTTACTGGGCCACATCCCAGGCCCATTTGTTTTATTTTACTATTTTATTTTGAAGTAGGTTCTGGCTAAGTGCCCCGAGCTGGCTTTAAATGCATAATCCTCCTGCCTCAGCCTCCAGCGTAGCTGAGATGACAGGTGTGCATGACCATGCCTGTTCTCTCAAAGCTTTTGAGCCAGCCTCCCCATGCAGGGTTTCCTCAATGAATGATTAAATAAGCCTTTGAAACCCTCACTTAGAGTTTGTAACTTTTTGAAAATTGTGTTTTGACAGCTCCTACAGCCTCCTCCTCTGCATGTCCTCCAGGGTGCCCAGGAGGCCTCCAGAGCTCACGCTGCCTCAGGGTCGGCTCCTGCCTTCATCCCCACACTTCTCTGTTGTCCTCCACCTGCCATGGAGAGCATGTGCCTCCTGGAAGGACTTGTTGAGCGCTCAGCCACGCTGCCTGTGACAGTGTCCTTGTTTGGAAATAATCTTTGCAAATGAAATCAAGATCAGATCATAGGGCTGGGCTCTAATCCAATGACGCACCTCCTTATGAAAAGAGGAAATTTAGACAGGAAGACAAGCATGTGATGGCAGAGTCAGTGCCTGGAGTGACAGCCACAAGCCAAAGCATGGAGAGTGGTAGCCCTCAGGAACTTGAGGAGGCAAGAAACACTCCCCGCATAAGACTGCAGAGGAAGCCAACCCTGCCCACACCTGGATTCCAGACTTCTGGCCTCCAGAACAGAGAAAAGAGATGTTTCACAGCATCATGGGACACAAATGCACTCTGTCAGCTGCCAGCATCTACCTGCTTCATGCTGGGCAGCCCCTATGGCCCTCAGAGACCTTTCAATAAATGCTGTGGGCTCACCCTTCATGGTGCACCTACCGCCAGCCCCTGGTGCAGCCAGTGCCCCAAGCATCACAGCTGCTCACTCTGTTTCTCTCTCTGCAGCAGCCCTATGACTCCGTCACACCTATGCTGAGCACCTCCTTGGCATCCCATCTCCCTCCAAACAAAAAAAGCTAACGCTCAGCTCAACAACAGCAAAAACTACCCACAACATACACATATGCATATACACATATGCACCTATCAAAATGGATAAAAAGACTTGAACAGACCCTTCTCCAAAGATGTACAAATGGCCTGGAAGGGCATGAAAAGAGACTTAGTGTCATCAGCCACCATAGAACTGCTGACAAAATCCACAGTGAGATACCACTGCACACACCCCAGGACGAGAGCATGACGACAAGAATCCCGCGTCCACAGCTGCTTTGGAAAATGCCAGGTACTTCTCAAAACACTGTGCGTAGAGTTCACGTAGGATGCGACACTTGCCCTCCCCCCATAGAATGCAGTCCGTGTCCACATGCAATGAAAACATATGTTGCATGTGAAATGAGCATGGGAATGTCTGCAGGTGTGTTAGACACAGATGACACACCGTGAGAACAGCAAGTGCAGAGTATCCGTAAGTGCACTGTGAGGGGACAGTGTGGATGGAAGAAGCCAGGACGCACCCACACCAGGGAGGACCTCGAAGACCTTGTGCTCAGGGAGAAGAGCCAGACACAAAAAGCCACGTTTACCATTCCTCCTGCAGGGAGAGTCCAGGAGGCAAATCTGGAGCCACAGGGCAATCACAGCTGTACGGGAGGTGAGGGCTGAAGTGTGCAGTTTGTCCAGCTGGTGACCATGCTGCCGT